AGGAGAGCCTCTTAGTTTTCATTCAATTCTTAGTGGGCTAATAGGTAGAAATTGGTTTTTAGATGTTCAAATGTTTAACAAATTTTTAAAACTCCTCAAATAACAAGAGTTCATATTCTATGTATATTTGTCAAAGTATTTCTGGAACATTATACAGGTATTTTAAGTTTGCAGTGTGTATGTGTATTATTCTTAAAGGATTAGGTGATATTTGAAAGCCATATTCATACGTAGAAAAGAAGAATGTGAAGAGAAAAGATCTAAAAGCAAAATAAAATATGCCACATTACAAGGGCAAGTGAAATGAGTAGAAGCAAAATAAATCAACTATACCTTTTATTTTCCTGAATGGCAAAATAAATATTGGTGATAGAAACCAGTGGTTCTCAAAATGTGTGGTCACCAGAATGGCAGCATCAGCATTACCTGGTATCTTGTTGAAAACGTGAAGTCTGGGGCTCCAGCCCAGACCTACTGATGAGTAACTCTTGGAATGGGGTTCATGAATCTGTATTCTAACATCCCTTCCTGATGATCCTGATGTCCTTGAAGTTCAAGAACCACTGAACCATTCCAAACCAGACAACACTCAATTTTTACTTATATGAATGGACAACTGGTCTTAATGTTTATTATGAGGATTAAATAAATAGTCACAAGTGAAGAGAAAAAAATAAAATGTCTTTAAAATAGGTTTGAATAGCGTAAATGGAGCTTGCCTTTTGTCGAGATATAATTAACATGAGTGTCTTTTTACCAATTTCATGAAACTAATATTCTACTTGAAAAGGGAAATATCCATAATCAAAAACTCCTTTAAAATACTTTAAGGGCCGGGGCTGGCCTCGTGGCCTCATGGTTAAGTTCGTGTGCTCCGCTGCAGGCAGCCCAGTGTTTCATTGGTTCTAATGCTGGGTGCAGACATGGCACTGCTCATCAAGTCACGCTGAGGCAGCATCCCACATGCCACAACTAGAAGGACCCACAATGAAGAATATACAACTGTGTACTGGGGGGCTTTGGGGAGAAAAAGGAAGAAAAATAAAATCTTAAAAAAAAAAAACTTTAAGGGCCAGCCCCGTGGCACAGTGGTTAAGTGCACACGTTCTGCTTCAGTGGCCCGGGATTCACTGGTTTGGATCCCGGGTGTGGACATGGCACTGCTGGGCAAGCCATGCTGTGTTAGCCATCCCACATATAAAAAGTAGAGGAAGATGGGCACAGATGTTAGCTCAGGGCCAGCCTTCCTCAGCAGAAAGAGGAGGATTGGCAGATGTTAGCTCAGGGCTAGTCTTCCTCAAAAAATAAAATAAAATACTTCACATAAATATTAGGGAGATATGTTCTTATTTGCAATTTACTAGTTATGGAACTTCTCCATATTTTGTTTCTTCTGTCACTATAATTATATATTATTCAGCACGTGTAAGCTCATTGCTATTCCAAGATTATTTCATGCTAAGATTTTTAAGTTCAACAGAAATTTTTTTTAAAAGTTCCAAAGTGTACTTTAAAAATACTTCTGTGAGTCTAACATAATACTCAGAATTAAAGTCACATTTCTGAATCACAAAATTTTCTCCTTTTCTCCTATTTGTCTCACTCAACTTTATTTACCTAATCACTATCTTCACATCTGTTGTACAAAATGACAGATTTCCAACTAAAAGCTCAGTAAACACACACCATAGTCAACTTTAATTATAAACAATCACAAAACAAACTTTAAAGCATTTCTACCAGTGTAAAGCTCTGTGGGAAATTGATTTCTCAAAGTGTTGTGGATGATTATTCTGAACAAAATAAATGAGGTAAGGTAATGTTACAATAATGATCTGGAACTGTGAGTCAAATGAGTAAGATTAAAGGCATAAAGAAAGTCTTCCTAATAAACAAGCAGATAACTGCTGGAAAGAAAAATATGTTCCTTGCTTGAAATTAACTGCCAAACATTCTCAACCTACACAAAGCTGTCAGAAAGGACATCTAAATCTGTCCTTGTTTGTAACATGTGTTGTGACAAGATTTGACAGTTTATCAAAGAACTATAATTGCCACCTAAACATCTAGCATTTTGTCAACTGCAAGTATGTTTAGTGAAAGCATTTATTTTACTTAAAATACAACAACCATTTTTCTCCACTTTCTGAAAAGAACTGACTGAATTTCTTTTCTTCTTAGGTGATCAAGCTGCATCAGGGCGCTCTCTGAATTATTTATGTTGGAAGAGTGAAGGGTAAAAGAGAATCGGTAAAGCAAGAAACTATTACCAAGGTAATATATATATGCTGGATATTGACTCAAAAGACCTTCAAAATACAACAATTCTCATGGATCCGTAGAGATGACATTTAAATATGTTTGCCTTGGGAAGGAGAAAGATAAGGCATTTTCTCTATATTACAATTTTCGTTTCCAGAGTAATTTATCAAGAAATGATGTCTTAAATGGAGAAAATGTATTGTTCAATAGGCATCATTCCTACCTGTAACTTTTGTGAGAAACAGTCAGTGGTAAGATAGATGTCTTTCTCAACCTACAGAGACCAAAGTAAACAGGAGCTGAATTCCCTTGCAGTAGATCGTGTAACAGAAATGTCAGAGTAATAACGATACCTCCATGACACTACTAAAGATTCCTTTCTTTCTGGAAATAGTTTTTACAAGTAAAAGAATTTTCCAGTCCCCAGTTTGAGGTTTTGTTCTTTGTGGCAGTTGTTTGATAAAAGAGTAAAGTTTTTATGCAAAAATTTCTGCACAAATTTTTAATTTTTCCTTCATTCTGACAAACCTCAAAGAAAAGGCCTAGAAGTGGGATAAGGACAAAAGCTCTATTTTGAAATTCAGGACTCCCTCGCTCTAGTCCACACTCTCCTTCTAATTAGCTGTTACATCCCAGGCAAGTGGCTTCATTTTTCTGAGCCTTGATTCCCTGTCTGTGAATTGGGATCTTAGCCTGGGAGGTCTCTAAGGCCATTTCCATCTTTAACATTTTATAATTCTACCCAAATCCCTGGAACTATGAGGTGTTGCAACAGCCAAAGCTTAGAGCAAAAATAGCAGCAAGACAGAAATTTCTCCTACTTAACACCTCAAGGAAAATGCAACCGACTATGGGTTTTTAATGTTTACATTAGCATTCAGTCCTATTTAGGTAATATTAATTCTATTTAAAAATCTGTTTTGTTTTTCTTTAAAAACTGAAAAATGTGTGACACATTGAGAGCACTAAGAGAAAAATCATTTCAATTGAAGCTGCAAGTACTTTTTTGTGCTGCTAAATTAAATCACTGACTTTTCTTTGGAAATTACTGTATATAGTCTGGCTGAGGATAAGAATTATATAGTATAGGTGAGTCTGTTGATTTTATGATAGGAAAGAACATGCATGAAGGGTTGTGGACAGAAATGAGTCAGCATGCACTGTCAACCATGAAGAGTCTGAATCAAAGAGATAAACCTGTTGATGTTGGGGAAAGATGTGATTGCATCAACACAGGACATTTTGGTTTAGCCTTTTTGACATAGCAGTTTCTACGGCTTTATAATAACAGCAAATTCAATATATAAAAACACTTTTTTCTAGCCAAGTAATGTCTTTCACAGGCATTGCCAAATCTCACCCATTTCTGTTGCCTCCCTCATCCCTTACCCCATTCCTGATCTTATTCTATCCATGAACTCAACCCATTGGGAAGCTCAAAAGTGGGGTGAGAAAATATATTCATCAAATTATTTAGTAATTTCAAAGTATGAAAAATGATGATTTGGTTTTAGGCTAAATCAAAATATCCCAGAACCAAATGTAGACACACAATTAGCAATAAAATAAAATGTATGATCCATATCTGACGCCTCCATTATTTTTACGACACAGTTTGTTGTTGAAATTCCTGGTATTATGATCTCTTCCACTTCTTGCTCCATTATTCCAACTCTCAATGCACTTTGGAAGCTGTGCACTTAAAATTTGCTAACAAACGCTCATCATATATAATTTGTTAGTCTTTTTCAATTATAAGAGTAATCAAAGTTCAAACACCACATTAATAGATGGCAATAAAATGTGACGGTCCTTCTTCACCCCCAACTCCTACCATCCTACTCCTGTTTTCCTAGATAGTCATAATAAAGAGGATCTCCATAATGACTTGATGCTTTGACTATCACTTAATTTTAAATACATAAATATCATACTATGCATATTTTTATGACTGGGTTTTTTACATTTAAAAAGGTCTTGGAGACATATGACCACACACATTCAGTCTCTTTGATGGCTGCTTTTGTATGTACAATACATTTTTTGATAATTTACCTATTAATAGACATTTGTTCCCAGATTTTGCTTTTATAAGCAATTCTAGAGAGGTCACTATCTGTCATTCACCATCTTATACCCTGTAAGGGATACAACAGCTGAGACACAGAATGCTTCAGGAAATATTGACTGACTGAATGAATACAGCAACAAACACTGTTATCAATATATGTGGGGAGTATTTGGGAACATTTCTGCTGAGTACATTCCTAAAAGTAACCACAAATACTCAAAGGTTATGTGCAAAATTTCCCTTACAAAATCTACACACTTACACATCCTAATAGAAGGAGTTATCTTCTTATAATTTTCGCTTGCCTGATATGTGAAAATAATTAGCATTTTCTTGATTACTAGCATTTTCTCATATTTATTACTACTTATTTTTTCCTGTGAATTGCCTATTTATACCATTTTCAAACTTTTTTATTATCTTCTTCTTGCTCAATTGGAAGAACTCTGTCGAAAACATATTTTAGACATTTTCTCTGCTCTGTAACTTTCCTTTTAAGCTTAGGTGTGTTTTACCTTGTACAAGTTTATATTTTTACATATTCAAATTTGTTTAAGCAACCCTAAGAAACGAATAGAGGCACTTATAAAAGAGAAAAAAAATCCATAAACTGAAGAAAGACTTCATTCTTTAGTTTATAAGTTTAGAGTGGGTGCCAAGCAGGAATTTTTTTGAAAGACCCAGGGGCAACTTCGAGCAGCGCGCGGCTGGAAGCAGCCGCAACAGCCGAGTAACAACCGGAAGCCGTTAGTTGGAGTCTGCGGTCTGACTTCTGTTCCAATCTCGGTGGCAGCGGTGATCGCTGGACGAAGAGCGCCTAGGGCAGTGGACCAAAATGCCAAATATAAAAATCTTCAGCGGCAGCTCCCACCAGGACTTATCCCAGAAAATTGCGGACCGCCTGGGCCTGGAGCTAAGCAAGGTTATGACCAAGAAATTCACCAACCAGGAGACCTGCGTGGACATTGGTGAGAGTGTGCATGGAGAGGATGTCTACATAGTGCAGAGTGGTTGTGGTGAAATCAACGACAATCTAATGGAGCTTTTGATCATGATTAATGCCTGCAAGATTGCTTCAGCCAGCCGGGTTACCGCAGTCATCCCGTGCTTCCCTTATGCCCGGCAGGATAAGAAGGATGAGAATCGGGCCCCAATCTCTGCCAAGCTTGTTGCAAATATGCTGACTATAGCAGGTGCAGATCATATCATCACCATGGACCTACATGCTTCTCAAATTCAAGGCTTTTTTGATATCCCAGTAGACAACTTGTATGCAGAGCCCGCTGTCCTGAGGTGGATAAGGGAGAATATCTCTGAGTGGAGGAACTGCATTATTGTCGCGCCAGATGCTGGTGGAGCCAAGAGAGTGACCTCCATTGCAGACAGATTGAATGTGGACTTTGCCTTGATTCACAAAGAACGGAAGAAGGCCAGCAAAGTGGACCACATGGTGTTGGTGGGAGATGTGAAGGATCGTGTGGCTATCCTTGTGGATGACATAGCTGACACCTGTGGTACAATTTGCCATGCAGCTGACAAACTTCTCTCAGCCGGAGCCACCAGAGTTTATGCCATCTTGACTCATGGAATCTTTTCTGGCCCAGCCATTACTCGCATCAACAGTGCGTGCTTGGAAGCAGTAGTGGTCACCAATACCATACCTCAGGAGGATAAGATGAAGCATTGCTCCAAAATACAGGTGATTGGCATCGCCATGATCCTTGCGGAAGCCATCAGGAAAACTCACAATGGGGAATCTGTTTCCTACCTATTCAGCCATGTCCCTTTATAATAGAATAACTTTGGGATTATTCTATTTTAAGATAAAAGAAAAGAAAAATGAAAATATACCATGCCCATTGATTTCATTTGGTATTTGATGAAAAACTCAGCAGAAAACTTATCTTGCTCCAGTGTAGCTTTCTACCTTCCGCATCAGGTGTATGAGAATTTATCTTAAATTGGGAAGAGAGAGATTGAGAATAATTGCTAGGATTTCCTATCAAGGTTGTCTCGTTCTGGCTTCTTTGATGATTTTGTGAGCCTTGCAACCTTATAGTTCAGCTGCTTTCAGACTTTGAGGGTGTTGTGTGGAGATGTTTGAAAGAGATTGGGGATGCTCAGACTACTTTACATGTGAATGCTTCAGGGTTTATTTTGTTCAGGACAACTAGCAATGCAGCCAACCCAATCTACCACTCCTCCACCTCCCCACCCCCTACCCTCTTCTATTTCCTGTCTTGTGCACCCCCTTCCCACCCTGTATGTCACCACTTCTCCAAGATCTATGCTAAACTGTATTAAGAGCTCTGAGCGACCTCAAATCTAGTTCACCTGATGGCTGAAACCCCTGCAAGGCGGGAGAAAAACTTTCAGCTTGAACAGCCATTGGGTGGGATCATGAGAGGAGGCTGCAAAGTGCAGCAAATGCTCTTGAGAGGAAGAAGAACAATCTATCACCGTCTGTTCGAAGTCTATGTATCTTGGCTTCTCCATTATGCCTGTTCCTTTTGATTTAGTTTTACCTCCAATCATCTTGACCTTTTCTTGGCCAAATATCCTGACGGGTCCAAATGACCAGTGTACCAGTCTTCTGAAAAGCAAATTCATTCCCTGCTATGTAATCTCTAACATTTGCGTTAGATGTTTTTGCTGTAGCTTAATCTTAGCTGACTACCACCGTGGTAGTAGATTTTAGGTGGTCTTGTAGTGCCTTTTGATTAAGCATTTAATTGTAATCTCCCTTCCTTGTATTTAGTTGGCCTCTCAGATGACTTAAGATTTATATTTAAAAGTTGATGTCATTGTTTTTTGTAGAGGAGACCAGTAAAATACCTGCATGTGTGTGGGAAAAAAAGGTCCACATCTAGATACATCATGAAATTTCTGCTCTCCAAGAAAATAAAGACAGACCCTAAAAGTTTCTAAAAGGTAGAATGCAAACAAGATAATTTTAAAGAAGCAATATTCAAATTGCTCTCAAACTTCTCGTTTGACCTCCCAAGCAATAAGCAAAATTGAACAATTTTTTTGCAGTTCTGAAAGAATATTGATTTTAACCTAGATTTCTGTGCCCAACCAAATGATAATTTAAATTTGAGGGCAATATTAAAGCACTTTTATACATTAAAGGACTCAGAAACTTTACCACCATGAATGCTTTCTGAAAGCATCACTTGAGGATACTGAAAATAAAAAAATAATAAATACAACCAAGAGGAACACATGGAATAAGAGAGAATGGTGAGCAAAGAAAGAAGTGAAATTGATCAAAAACATTTTTTCCATGAAGCTATTGTGAAGATTATCACAGATATTAAGACAAAATTCACATAAAAATTGGACCACATCATAAAGCAAATTATTTAAAAATCTGTAAATAAAATTCCAGACGATATCCACAAAACATGAGAGGTTTGTAGTGTTTAGGGTTAGTCTAAGTATATTAATGATCTTATCTAGTTTGGGGGAGTGGTTACTGATGCCAATAATTGATATTATAGAAAAAACTGAGTCTAAATATGTATTTTAGATTGGATTAGATTTGATTTGATTTGATTTTAGGTTTTCCTTTTTCTTTTTCTCCTCAAAGCCCCCCAGTACATAGTTGTATATTTTTTTAGTTGTGAGTCCTTCTAGTTGTGGCATGTGAGACACTGCCTTGGCATGGCTTGATGAGCAGTGCCATGTCCGCGTCCAGGATCCAAACTGGCAAAACCCCAGGCTGGTGAAGCTAAGCACGTGAACCCAACCACTCGGCCATGGGGCCGGCCCCTAAATATGTATTTTAAAATTCAAGGAAGAGCAAGAGAAGAGAAGAATGGGATAAACTATTAAACAAAAATGGCACAGGCAAAACTAAACAAATCCAGCTGAAGACAGGGAATGAGGAAGAAAACATAGCAAATAGAAGATACCAAATATGTATTATCACAACTAAAGACAATATGTCAAGTTAACCTTAGCAAAGATTATTAGATTGGGTAGCAAAAGTATCTAATGATATGCTGTTTACAGGAGACATCTAACAAAAACTTGGCTATAAAGTGATGATGAAAAATATACCAAGTAAATGCTGACAAAGAGAAACTAGGAGTGATACTTTCAAAGTAAAAATGGCGTGTGTTTTACTAATGAAACCCCTTAATAAGTTATAACTATCATGAGTCTTTATGCACCTAACAACTCAATGTTGAAATATAAAAAGAAAAATTAAAGAGTGAGAATATAAGGAGAAATGTATAATCTACGTTAACAGAGGGAAATTTTAACAAAACTCATAATCAAAATAAGGTATTATGGCATTTAAATAACTCTTATCACAATTTAATAACTATATGTAGAAATTAAACAGATAATTCACATTTTTCCAGCATGAATGAAAACATTTATAAATATTAAAAATGTAATAGGTTTCAAAAAGTCTTGATAAGTTTATTTTCTTTTTTCCAGGAAGATTAGCCCTGAGCTAACATCTGTTGCCAATCCTCCTCTTTTTGCTGAGGAAGCCTGGCTCTGAGCTAACATCCATGCCCATCCTCCTCTACTTTATATGTGGGACACCTGCCACAGTACGGCCCACCAAGCGGTGTGTAGGTCCACATCCAGGATCTGAACCGGCAAACCCTGAGCTGCCGAAGTGGGATGTGCGCACTTAACCACTGCACCACCGGGCTGGCCCTCATAAGTTTGTAAAAAGGAATTCATGTAGACCATAAATAGTAAAGTGGATTTACTACAATCGTCTTGACAATATTGTGAAAAAATAAAGCTCTCGGTAAAATAGGAATAGAATAAATCTTGCTTGACCTGTTAAAGAAAGTCTACTAGAGACCTACAAAGATACACTTAATGATGAAACATAGGAAACATTCCATTAAAATCAGGCTAATTTGTAAGCCAGTGGAATAAGGCAAGAAAAAGAAGAGAGGTAGCAATACGGGGAAAAAAGAGGCAAAACTATCATTGTTTGCACATCTCATGATTGTCAACAAAGAAATCCAACAATCGAAAACTATTCCTCTGAGAGGTCAGTAAAGTGACTGCACGTAGTGTAAGTAAAATAATTGTCTTTCCTAAATACCAACAAAACGTTATTTAAAAGTATAATTGAAAAAAAGTTTCTACAACCTGGACCAATAAAATCTGAAAAATGACCATTAGTGAACTCCCAAACTGTAGGAATTGTATAAAAACTTTTTACTAAAGTATATAGAAAATACCTGAATAAATCTATTATAAACCTTGAGAGGAGGAACAATATGAGAGTTTCCTCAAATCGTCTAGTCAGTATAAGCCCAATCACAAGCCCAACAGGACTTTTTAAAAAGAGAATTTGATAAACTTAAAGTTCATCTGGAAAAGTAAGTGATCAAAATCTTTTTGAAAATGTAATTAAAACCGTTGTATTGATGCAGGCACGGACACAGAAATTATTATTGCAGAATTTGGATTCCTGAAACAGACCATTCATACTTACGGGAATTTAGCACACACATACCCTAGCTTAATGGAGGGATTGTGTTACTGGAAAAAGGAGCATAACTGAATCAATTCTATAGGGGAACCACTATTACAAAGTCCCTATGGAGATGCTTTCCTGATATCCTGCCTTGGCAACCACTCCTGCAATCTACTCAGATTCTCTGAAGTGGGGATGAGACTTCTGCCATAGCTTTTTTCTAAGTATCTTCATACAATTATGGGTCAATTCAGGTCATAGTGATGCTTATGATGGGTTTCTTAATATCATTTGTCACCTATCAATATTTAACTTCTTGATGATCTGAACTTTTTGCTTCCTTGACTACATTCTGGAAAGTACCTCTAGCCTCTTCAAAGCGTCCACTTTAAGTACCATTATAACACTATTACCTTGCTTGTATGAAGCATATCTAATATTATTTTCACATATTTAACCAGTAATTTTGGATAAACTTCTCAGATTACAAAATAAATGAAAGAGACACCATAGCATAGTACATAACACATGCCACCGAACATATTCACCCCACAGTCAGCAAAGTAGCAGGTCCCCTAGCCAAAAGCTTTAGTGTACTTATGCTTATTGGCTGAGAAGTGTTGTATAGTCACTCACACTATATATCAGCTCCCATTGACTGAGATCTCACAACAGTACTTAGAAACTGAAAGAGGGGAAATATATATTAATATAATAACTACATATAATTAATTCTGCCCAAATTTCATTCAATCAAGTATGCATATATATGATAAAACTGGTATATCATGTCATTAGATAAATAATGCACTGAGCAATCAATGACACTGGGTAACTGACTATTAATTGGGAAACCAGTTTTTTCTCATCCTTAAATGATGCATAAAAATAAATTCCAGAAGGAATGTTTCTAAAGAACAAAACTGTAAAGTACTGGAAGAAAACGTGGAGTAACTTTTATACTCTTGTAATTCAGAAGGCCTTCTTAAGAAGGATATACCTAAAACTTGGAATTTATAAAAGATGAGATTGAGACATGACTTCTGGGATTCTACAGGCAGGAAACGGGCTGATAGAGATTCTCAACTACATGTGCTACCCTGCGAGAAACAAAAAGAACTATTCCAAGGGCAGAGCTACCAAGAGTGGTGCAGAGGCCAGTGGGGCCACTGAGAGTGGCCCAGAGGTTGACTGAGCTGCTGCCATGAACTTAGAGGCTGACGGAGCCACTGCCACAGGCCTAGAGGCTGGAGCCATGGACCTAGCAAGTGGAGCATCAAGCCACAAAGGATTATTCTCAGGCCTTAAAACCGAATGAAATTTGCTCTACTGGATTTCAAACTTGCTTGGGACAGGAAACCCCTTTATTCTTTTCAATTTGTCTCTTTTGGAATGAGAATGTATATCCTATGCCTGTCCCACCTTTGTATTTTGGAAACAGATAACTTGTTTTCTACATTCACTGGTCCACAGATGAAAACAAGTTTTGCCCCGGGATGGTTCACGCCCAGTTTCATCCAGGTCTGGTTTAGATAATTTAGACATGAGATTTGGAATTTCTGAGCTGATGATATTTAGATGAGATTTTGAACTTAGACGTGATTTTATAATGGGCTGAGACTTTTGGGGATTTGGGGATGAGGTGAATGTTGGACAGATGTGAATTTGGGGGGACTAGAGAGCAGACTGTAGTGGGTTGAATAGAATCCCCCCAAAAAGCTGTCATAACCCCTGGAGGCTGTAAATATGACCTTATTTAGATAAAGTGGCTTTGTAGATGTAATGAAATTTAGGATTTCCAGATCCTAGGTATTTTTTAATCATCCTGGATTTAGGGTGGGCCTTAAATATGACAGGCGTTTTTATTAGTGAAAAGCAGAGGGAGCTTTGAGAGAAGGATACAGAGGAAAAGGTGATATGAAGATGGAAGCAGAGACTGGAGTGATGCATCCACAAACCAAGGAAAGCCAAGGATACCAGCAGCCACCAGAAGCTAGGAGAGAGGCATGGAGCAGATTCTCCCCCAGAGCTTCCAGAAAGAATTAAGTCTGCTGACACCGTGATTTCAGACTTTCGGCCTACAGAACTGTGAGAGGATAAATTTCTATTGTTTATACCACTCAGTTTGTGGTAATTTGTTACTTAAACCCTAGGAAACTAATACAGGTTTTAGTACCAGGAAGCGGGGTGTTGCTGTAACAAATACCAAAAACTGTGGAAGTGGCTTTGGAATTAGGTAATGGGAAGAGGCTTGGAAGAATTTTGAGGTGTACGATAGTGAAAGTCTAGACTACTTTGAAGAGACTATTGATAGAAATATAGATGTGAAAGGAGAGTCTAGTGAGCTCAGAAGGAAGTGAAGAGGATAATGGAGAATATTTCTAACATTTTAGAGACTCCATATATCATCATGAACAGATTGTTGATAAAAATATGAACATTAAATGTGCTTCTGGTTCCATCTCAAAAGGAAATCAGAAACATGTACTGGAGGAAATGCTTTCCTTATTATAAATTGGCAGAAAACTTTTGAATTGCATTCTACCGTTGAGTGGAAAGCAGAAATTGTTAACGATGAACTTGGATATTAAGTCTCTGAGGAGATTTCCAAGCTAAGTGTTGAAGGTGAGGCCTGGTTCTTCCTTGCTGCTGTAGTAAAATGCAATAAGAAAGAGATAAATTGTGGAAGGAACAATGAATTAAAAGAAACCAGCACTTGATGATTTGGGAGGTTCTCAGATTATCCAGATTGCAAAGAATGCTAAAATTGGGAAATTCATTGTTAGGAAAGCATGTTCTGAAGAGAAGTCCAAGGGTATGGCAGGATAACCTCTTATTAAAGAGACAAGGTGTGTGACTCATGGATCCAATCTTCAATTTTAGCAGAAGGCAGGAATAGAGATAGTTATCCAGGAAGGATCAATGAAGAACTCTCCTATCTAATAGTGGAGACCTTATGACGTGCACAAAATCAAAGGGGACAGAGACAGAACAAGATGAATGAGTGCTGTCATATCTTTTGGGGGCTACTATTCAACCAATTACACTGCCTCTTTGCCCTTCCCTATTTATCTTCTTTTGGATCCCCTATTGGAT